ATATTTCAAATTTGCATCATGGAATGTTTTGCATCTCTTTAAAGGCTCTGGGGGAAATAGACTGAACAGTACGATTTGGCCTAGTGCTATTGTTACTATTATTTCCCTTTTTAACCGTGCATTCCAAAGTCAGCCAGGGCAGCCTGTTCCAGCATTATTGTTGTGCATATATAACTTTAATATGTAAACTATTAAGGCACCAGAACTGAGTTTATGTTTAGTAATGGAAAATAACATTCCATATATTATCAAATGAAAATAGATATATTGCGCTCTATTCAGTGAAAAAATTTCTGCTGTCTTCTATCCTGGGAAAACTATGGAAAATCAATATTTGGCTTTCAGACCTTGTGTTGTAATTGACTGGCCACAGAACCTTCTTGCTGGACTTACTTAGAATCCTAGATACTGTTGGTGGGAAAAGACCTACTGGGATCAAGTCCATCTCTCTGTCAATGTAGGATTATTAATCATTGGTCGTTTATCAGGGCTTTTTCCAGTCCAATATCTCAAACTTCAGGCTTCCCTTAGGAGAATGTTCCTAATGTGGGAACACTGGCAGGTAGTACTGTCAAATTACAGATGTCATCTGCTTAGTGCAAGATTGCAGACAGGTTCCCTCTTTACACGAGTGGCTCTAAGCATGCCCCATTAATCAATTGCAGGCCATTTTTCTCATAAAACAGACCTTCTACATCCTGTAGTCATGGAATCTGCGCTTTTTGGTAACTCGCTGACAAAAAATAATTATTTTCTACAGTCTAAACTTTTATTTTTTATTTTCTAGTCTTCATGATCATGAAGATAGTTCATATTTTCTAGTTAAATGTAAACTAATGCCATGTGGTCTTCGTGAAGCTGCAGATCACCTGAAACAATGGCTCTGATAGCAGACCTACCCTGTTCATCTGTGTGTTATCTGAAACCTATAGAAAACTATTAAAATAACTATTCCATTGAGCTTGTTAGCTCAAACATCTAGCTAATGTACTTATCTCACAAGTCCAAACTACCTCTCTGGCTGCCAAACACCCAACTGTCCCCTAACTGGCTTCCAAAGCCTCCAGCTTTCCTCTTACAATTTCTGCAATGCAGTTATGCTTTATCGTTTAAAAAATATCTGCAGCATATTATAAACTGGCAATAGTGGGACTGTCAGAAATACAGTATGTCCAATTTTGTATAACACAGTGCTATTCATTTTAATATGTCACTCTTTAAAAAACCTCTATAGATTTATTTAAATGAAGCTGCTCCAGTACTTCTAGGTCGCTATGATGGTATTCCACAGAATTTTGGGCTTTGCTGAAGAATTTAGGTTTAGTTGCCCATGGATCCCATAAGGAATTGAGTACAGGAAAGAGTTTGCTAGGAACCCTAGTAAGAGAAACACTACTGGATATATTGCACATTCAGGATTAGCCTTTAGAAGTAGCTGGAGAAGGTGAGCCCTGCAGCGGCTATAAATTTGCCGAATAAAATTCTTTTAAGCAATGGACACTGTTGACAAAGTGAGACTGAATTCAAAGACAAGATATACAATGTGTCTTTCTCTAACTATAAGGATAGCCTTCTAGGGGAAACACTGACCTTTCCCAGGGTGAAAAAAGCATGACTAAGGCCAGTTTAGTGATGTAAATGCAAAATAAACTAGCAACTTTATGCTTCTTTGTTTTGTGAGCTATAGGTGGAAATGGTCACGGATGACAGAGAAATGACCTATCTCCTAAAATAATCTCAAGTGTTTTTTTGCCACTGAAGGCCCTTAGTTTCTGCTACATCTCCCTGTCCACCCTGCTAAAATCTTTATATCAAAAGGTTGTAAAGAATCTTCATATCAAAATAAATGTTTGTTTATTATTATTTGCATTACAGTAGTGCCTTGAGGTTTCAACCAAGATCAGGGTGTTATATGAAGACGTAATAAGAGATGGTGCCTGACCCAAGGAACTTTGTCTAAAGAGCCTGGGGGTATGTCTACACTATGGAATAAGGTCGAATTTATAGAAGTCGGTTTTTTAGAAATCGGTTTTATATATTCGAGTGTGTGTGTCCCCACAGAAAATGCTCTAAGTGCATTAACTCGGCGGAGTGCTTCCACAGTACCGAGGCTAGAGTCGACTTCCGGAGCGTTGCACTGTGGGTAGCTATCCCACAGTTCCTGCAGTCTCCGCTGCCCATTGGAATTCTGGGTTGAGATCCCAATGCCTGATGGGGCTAAAACATTGTCGCGGGTGGTTCTGGGTACGTATCGTCAGGACCCCGTTCCCTCCCTCCCTCCGTGAAAGCAAGGGCAGACAATCATTTCGCGCCTTTTTTCCTGAGTTACCTGTGCAGACGCCATACCACGGCAAGCATGGAGCCCGCTCAGGTAACTGTCACCGTATGTCTCCTGGGTGCTGGCAGACACGGTACGGCATTGCTACACAGTAGCAGCAACCCATTGCCTTCTGGCAGCAGACGGTGCAATACGACTGGTAGCCGTCATCGTCGTGGCCGAGGTGCTCCTGGCCACGTCGGCTGGGAGCGCCTGGGCAGACATGGGCGCAGGGACTAAATTTGGAGTGACTTGACCAGGTCATTCTCTTTAGTCCTGCAGTCAGTCCTATTGAACCGTCTTATGGTGAGCAGGCAGGCGATACGGATTGCTAGCAGTCATACTGTACCATCTTCTACTGGGCAGGCAAGAGATGAGGATGGCTAGCAGTCGTATTGTACCATCTTCTGCCGGGCAGGCAAGAGATGAGGATGGCTAGCAGTCCTACTGCACCATCTTCTGCAGAGCAGCCATGAGATGTGGATGGCATGCAGTCCTTCTGCACCGTCTGCTGCCAGCCAAAGATGTAAAAGATAGATGGAGTGGATCAAAACAAGAAATAGACCAGATTTGTTTTGTACTCATTTGCCTCCTCCCCCGTCTAGGGGACTCATTCCTCTAGGTCACACTGCAGTCACTCACAGAGAAGGTACAGCTAGGTAAATCTAGCCATGTATCAATCAGAGGCCAGACTAACCTCCTTGTTCCAATAAGAACAATAACTTAGGTGCACCATTTCTTATTGGAACCCTCTGTGAAGTCCTGCCTGAAATACTCCTTGATGTAAAGCCACCCCGTTTGTTGATTTTAATTCCCTGAAGCCAACCCTGTAAGCCGTGTCGTCAGTCGCTCCTCCCTCCGTCAAAGCAACGGCAGACAATCGTTCCGCGCCTTTTTTCTGTGCGGACGCCATACCAAGGCAAGCATGGAGGCCGCTCAGCTCACTTTGGCAATTAGGAGCACATTAAACACCACACGCATTATCCAGCAGTATATGCAGCACCAGAACCTGGCAAAGCGATACCGGGCGAGGAGGCGACGTCAGTGCGGTCACGTGAGTGATCTGGACATGGACACAGATTTCTCTGAAAGCATGGGCCCTGCCAATGCATGCATCATGGTGCTAATGGGGCAGGTTCATGCTGTGGAACGCCGATTCTGGGCTCGGGAAACAAGCACAGACTGGTGGGACCGCATAGTGTTGCAGGTCTGGGACGATTCCCAGTGGCTGCGAAACTTTCGCATGCGTGAGGGCACTTTCATGGAACTTTGTGACTTGCTTTCTCCTGCCCTGAAGCGCATGAATACCAAGATGAGAGCAGCCCTCACAGTTGAGAATCGAGTGGCGATAGCCCTGTGGAAGCTTGCAATGCCAGACAGCTACCGGTCAGTTGGGAATCAATTTGGAGTGGGCAAATCTACTATTGGGGCTGCTGTGATGGAAGTAGCCCACTCAATCAAAGGTCAAGGGTAGTGACCCTGGGAAATGTGCAGGTCATAGTGGATGGCTTTGCTGCAATGGGATTCCCTAACTGTGGTGGGGCCATAGACGGAACCCATATCCCTATCTTGGCACCGGAGCACCAAGCCACCGAGTACATAAACCGCAAGGGGTACTTTTCAATAGTGCTGCAAGCTCTGGTGGATCACAAGGGACGTTTCACCAACATCAACGTTGGATGGCCGGAAAAGGTACATGACGCTCGCATCTTCAGGAACTCTGGTCTGTTTCAAAAGCTGTAGGAAGGGACTTTATTCCCAGACCAGAAAATAACTGTTGGGGATGTTGAAATGCCTATATGTATCCTTGGGGACCCAGCCTACCCCTTAATGCCATGGCTCATGAAGCCGTACACAGGCAGCCTGGACCGTAGTCAGGAGCTGTTCAACTACAGGCTGAGCAAGTGCAGAATGGTGGTAGAATGTGCATTTGGACGTTTAAAGGCGCGCTGGCGCAGTTTACTGACTCGCTTAGACCTCAGCGAAACCAATATTCCCACTGTTATTACTGCTTGCTGTGTGCTCCACAATATCTGTGAGAGTAAGGGGGAAACGTTTATGGCGGGGTGGGAGGTTGAGGCAAATTGCCTGGCTGCTGGTTACGCGCAGCCAGACATCAGGGCGGTTAGAAGAGCACAGGAGGGCACGGTACTCATCAGAGAAGCTTTGAAAACCAGTTTCATGACTGGCCAGGCTACGGTGTGAAAGTTCTGTTTGTTTCTCCTTGATGAAACCCCCCGCCCCTTGGTTCACTCTACTTCCCTGTAAGCTAACCACCCTCCCATCCTCCCTTCGATCACTGCTTGCAGAGGCAATAAAGTCATTGTTGCTTCACATTCATGCATTCTTTATTCATTCATCACACAAATAGGGGGATGACTACCAAGGTAGCCCAAGAGGGGTGGTGGAGGAGGGAAGGAAAATGCCACACAGCACTTTAAAAGTTTGCAACTTTAAAATTTATTGAATGCCAGCCTTATTTTTTTGGGCAATCCTCTGTGGCGGAGTGGCTGGTTGGCCGGTGGCCCCCCCCACCGCGTTCTTGGGCATCTGGGTGTGGAGGCTATGGAACTTGGGAAGGAGGGCGGTTGGTTACACAGGGGCTGTAATGGCAGTCTGTGCTCCAGCTGCCTTTGTTGCAGCTCAGCCATACACTGGAGCATACTGGTTTGACTTCCAGCAGCCTCAGCATTGAATCCTGCCTCCTCTCATCACGCTGCCGCCACATTTGAGCTTCAGCCCTGTCTTCAGCCCGCCACTTACTCTCTTCAGCCCGCCACCTCTCCTCCTGGTCATTTTGTGCTTTCCTGCACTCTGACATTATTTGCCTCCATGCATTCGTCTGTGCTCTGTCAGTGTGGGAGGACAGCATGAGCTCGGAGAACATTTCATCTCGAGTGCGTTTTTTTTCTTTCTAATCTTCACTAGCCTCTGGGAAGGAGAAGATCCTGTGATCATTGAAACACATGCAGCTGGTGGAGAAAAAAAAAGGGACAGCGGTATTTAAAAAGACACATTTTATAAAACAGTGGCTACACTCTTTCAGGGTAAACCTTGCTGTTAACATTACATACATAGCACATGTGCTTTCGTTACAAGGTCGCATTTTGCCTCCCCCCACCGCGTGGCTACCCCCTCAACCCTCCCCTCTCCCCCTTGGCTAACAGCAGGGAACATTTCTGTTTAGCCACAGGCAAACAGCCCAGCAGGAATGGGCTCCTCTGAGTGTCCCCTGAAGAAAAGCACTCTATTTCAACCAGGTGACCATGAATTATATCTCACTCTCCTGAGGATAACACAGAGAGATAAAGAACGGATGTTGTTTGAACACCAGCAAACATACACTGCAATGCTTTGTTGTACAATGATTCCCGAGTACGTGTTACTGGCCTGGAGTGGTAAAGTGTCCTACCATGAAGGACGCAATAAGGCTGCCCTCCCCAGAAACCTTTTGCAAAGGCTTTGGGAGTACATCCAGGAGAACCGCGAATGCCAGGGCAAAGTAATCCTTTCACATGCTTGCTTTTAAACCATGTATAGTATTTTAAAAGGTACACTCACCGGAGGTCCCTTCTCCGCCTGCCGGGTCCAGGAAGCAGCCTTGGGTGGGTTCAGGGGGTACTGGCTCCAGGTCCAGGGTGAGAAACAGTTCCTGGCTGTCGGGAAAACCGGTTTCTCCGCTTGCTTGCTGTGAGCTATCTACAACCTCATCATCATCATCATCTTCTTCGTCCCCAAAACCTGCTTCCGTGTTGCCTCCCTCTCCATTGAAGGAGTCAAACAACACGGCTGGGGTAGTGGTGGCTGAACCCCCTAAAATGGCATGCAGCTCCTCATAGAAGCGGCATGTTTGGGGCTCTGACCCGGAGCGGCCGTTCGCCTCTCTGGTTTTCTGGTAGGCTTGCCTCAGCTCCTTAAGTTTCACGCGGCACTGCTTCGGGTCCCTGTTATGGCCTCTGTCCTTCATGCCCCGGGAAATTTTGACAAAGGTTTTGGCATTTCGAAAACTGGAATGGAGTTCTGATAGCATGGATTCCTCTCCCCATACAGCGATCAGATCCCGTACCTCCTGTTCGGTCCATGCTGGAGCTCTTTTGCGATTCTGTGACTCCATCGTGGTCACCTCTGCTGATGAGCTCTGCATGGTCACCTGCAGCTTGCCACGCTGGCCAAACAGGAAATGAGATTCAAAAGTTCGCGGTTCTTTTCCTGTCTACCTGGCCAGTGCATCTGAGTTGAGAGTGCTGTCCAGAGCGGTCACAATGGAGCACTCTGGGATAGCTCCTGGAGGCCAATACCGTCGAATTGTGTCCACAGTACCCCAAATTCAAGCCGGCAAGGCTGATTTAAGCGCTAATCCACTTGTCAAGGGTGCAGTAAGGAAATCGATTTTAAGAGCCCTTTAAGTCGAAATAAAGGGCTTCATTGTGTGGACGGGTGCAGGTTTACATCGATTTAATGCTGCTAAATTCGACCTAAAGTCCTAGTGTAGACCAGGGCTGGAAGGAAGCAGAGACACAGATAAGAGCAGTGACTTGCCCAGGATTCGTGGTAGAGCCACAAATAAAACCTTCATCTTATGACTGAGCCCTGTGCCTTACCCACTAGTCCATGCTGCTATGACTGAGGAAAGAAGGCTCTTCCAGCTTTTGGGAAATTATTGGTTCTAGTACTAATATCTGGTTAAAAGCACAATGTGTGAGTGTTCAGAGAGAGGAGTAGAGATGAGAAGAATCTGGGACTAACATCAAATCACGCTACAAACTTATGCCTGATGCATGAGGCTGATGAATAATGAAATCTATGCTGGTATGTACACTTATATAAGACTGGGTGAGGGCTGTAATTCTTGTGCATGGGCTCAGTAAAGTCGCTCTTGGGAGGACTGTTTGCACTTTCAGGTTTATTTCTATTTTTAATTAGTCAATAAATTAGTAGCAAAAAAGCATCCAAAGAAGTGCTAAAAAGCTGGTAAAGATGAGAGCACATGGCTAAAGGAGGCAGTTTGTTAGAATTTAATATAGACAGCTGAGAAAGTAATTAAAGGAAGGGATGTAAATGTTTTAATGTGAAGGATGCCGTGATACCACCTGAGAGGGGGAGGAATTACATAAGCTGTGTGTGGAATAATAAGGTGGAAGGACTGCAAGCTAGAGAAGAGGGAATTTAAATCAGAGTTCAAGAAATATTATAGAGTATATTAGACAACAGTACAACTTGCTAAAGGAAGCTCATGGAGGTACCATTACTAGAGGCAGTCAGCGATAGAATAGATGCAATCCACACAGCCCAGTCCCACTCCTATTAAGTCAATGAAAAAGTTGCCACTGATCTTAGAAGCAGGGTTGTGCAGTTATGCATTTAAGGACAAATCTTGCCCCTGCTCTGTAGATGTGCTGAGTCTCCTGGCAATAGAACCAGCATGGTTCAACTGTGCAAGGAGGGACAGGATTTGTGGGAGTGGAATTCACAGGGCCTAGGCAGTTCTGTGTGGCCTGAGACTCAGCTCTGTGGCAAATCTCCGTGGACCATAGCACAATGAGCAGGAGATGAGGAAATGTGGTGCCAGAGGAGCCTCACTGCCCCACAGCAGAAGGGAATGCATTAGGGCTTAGCATTAGCCGCCTGCTGCGATGCCTACTACTCTCCCTCTGCCCTCACCCCCACATGTTTTCATGGACATACTCTGGGCACAGCCTGAATACAGGGTAAATTATACATAGGGCAATTCTTGCCTTACTGTCGTGGGAGTGAGAGACGAGATGACCTCGAAAATGCTTTCCAACCCTCTCATTTGAATTATGAGGCTGAACAAGAATATTTTGATAGGAATCCATGTATATTCATATCTCATAATCTGTCTGGAATCCTATTTACACACTTTTAGTAGCTAATAATCAGCTAATCAGGAACTGAACTGTGGTTTTATTATTCTTGTGCCTTCATTCATAAATTAGTCTGGCAGAAAAATGGGAAGGTCATAGCTTAGTGCTGTACACAACTGATGCCAAACTCACAATGTAAGTCATAAATCATTCTCAACATGATGAGGCGTATAACTTTAATGTTACCATCTACAGATGAATGTAGAAGTCTGCAAATGTGGACAAGAAGCAAGGGGCACCTATGCTAATTGGCTGGCTGCCTGCACACATTTCTGGGTTTTCGTAGTAAGGAGACTGTTCCTTCCAGCCCTATATTTCCATGCTATACAATTTAAAATTGTCTAGTCTCCAGGAATCTTCTGCTGGTGTAGGGCTCAGATGTCTGAGCAGGTCTTGAAGTGTAAGGACTCCAGGACAGCTCTTTCTTCCATCTGTCCTTTTCCTAGATTACCAACATAAACTAAATCAACATACGCCAGCTGTAAACCGACTTGAGTGCCCACAGGAGGGGTTGCCACTGGTTTAAATAGATTGTTTTTTTAAATGAATTAGTTAAGCCAGTGCAACTTTGAGGTACAGACAAGGGTTCAGAATATCTTTTAGTATCTGTTTTGTTCTAATAATGGGTTGGTACATGTCAAGAGAGTTCTGTAATGGTCTGTAGGAAGGTCACCCATCATGGGCTTCATGAGCATGAATGGAAAGACCTTATGAGGCTTGAACCGTACTTGACCAAGAGAAATTCTAAAATACAGCTGGTGCCTCATGTCTATTTAGAGGTGCTGTGCCTCAGAGAAAGCTAGAAGACTGGTGGACAATTCATAATTAAGTGTCAATCACAGAGGCTGGAATTCATTGCTTCAAAGATTAGAGGAAACACAAGCATTGGAACACACTGATTGGTGGGATCGCTGACCCCTGGAACAAAACCTTTATTGCAAAGGGATGAAGTGTATGCATGTTGCTAATCTGAGCGATGGCTTCTGCTGACTTTGATATTGAAAGTAACCCTGATAAGTGTGCAAGTGACTGAAGCCTTTGCATTCGTGGTATAACTGATCAACTAACACTCAAGGACAAGAAGTGTGTCAAGTGGACTGGCCACAATACTTAGCCTATATATAGTCAGTATATCTGCATAGTTTGTTCACCAATATCTCATTCATCTTCACCAAAACAAACAGTACTGGATTCACTGACAATTCTTAAAATATTTAATAAATGTAGGGGTATTTTTGGGGTAGGGAGTGCTGATCTCTCTAAATCAAGAGATGATTAACAGAGAGCTTTCGAGCTAACAGTGAGAGAGACACTATATGTTACAAGTGGCTGTGAGCTTTCCTAGGAACTAATGCCAGTGATATCCCATCAAGGATTGCTCTTGCTCAGCATATTCAAATAATGTGTAATGGGGTCACGACACTCTAAAAGGGATATAATTGCATTTTATTACTCTTTTAGGCAGCATGAAGCAAGACTTCTGATGTTTTGACCTCCTGGTCTTGGTAATAGATGCCCTTTAGTTTAATAAAATGTAATTATATTCTATTCAAGTCATAGTGAAAAGTCATTACTAGAATGGTATGGAGAAAGGCAATCCCGTTTTGTGGAGGATTTTGATATTTAAAAATTTGGTTTCATTCCGATTTAGAACAAAAACAAACAAAATCCTTTGAAATTCTCTGCAAAAGAAAATAGAACCCTGGTCCTATCTGCTGGACCCTGGAAGGTCTGGGATCTCCCACTCTGAGGCAGTGAGCCAGATGGGTCTGCCAAGAAGACAGGTGGAAGAGCTGGCAGGAAACCAAGAAGTGTTCTGTTGAACCCCGGCCTCGCTTCTGGAGGAACTGTACTGAAATCAAACAGTCTCTGCAGAATTTTTTTTTTTTATCAAAATCTAAAGTCAGGATTTTCTCGACCAGCTGTAGTCAATAACCATTTCAGTTTGCTGCTCATTACCTTTTCCTGCACTCAGGAGTAGCCCTCATTCCGCAGTCCACCCCTATTTAGCAAAGCACAGCACAGCACTTAACATTGGGTATGTTTTTAAGTACCATTGATGTCCGTGGAATTAAACACATGCTTGAAATTGAATAGGGGTGGATTGAAGCCTATGCTTGAAGGTTTGCTTAACCTGGATTCTTGGTGTTTGCAAACCAACCAGTCTCTTCTGAGGCTGAATCCCATAAGTGTACATAAGAACAAGCTGGGCTTTGAGCTAATTGGGGTTTACCCCAGCTTGAAACAGGCAAATTTCACATCGTTCAATTGGTGCAAATTGACTTGTCCTTGGGTGCTCGTAGGTATCAACACCGGTGCAACTACAGTAGAACCTCAGAGTTATGAACATCAGAGTGTACACCAAATATTGAATGGGAGCTACTCCAAAGTGCAGATAAGGCCCCATACATATACAATTCTGGATAGTGGAGTTGGTATTGGTGTATGTGGGAGGGACCTATGGTTCTGCCATGTAGAAACTCCAGATTTCCCTTTTTGAAACCTATATATTTTACCAACTGTGGATGAGGTTCTTAAAAAAAAAAGAGAGAGAAACTCTCAGCATGACCATCTCCCACCAACATTAAACATGCTATCCCTTTAATCTACTTCACCTGCATTGGCTGCATGCCAGGCAACCTAAGCCTTGGCTGGCAGTACACTAGCCACTATTGCACTACCATGTTGGCTCAGTCAAAAGCATTTTTATTAGTAACTAATTTATTGTACAACATAAGCAGAAGAATGAGATTTCAAAAACAATATAAAGATTTATAATCTGCAAGAGGCACCAAAAATGCTTTTGTACACATAAACTCTGAATACAAAGAGATTGGGCTTGCCTCAAGATCTACAAATAATCCAGGAGGTCCTGTAGGGTCAGGTTTTTTTCAGCTCTTGATTTGTTAAGTGAACAATGGCACTTAAAGGCAGTTGACTTTTATCTTATTAAAATGAAAAACATATGTGTCCCTTCTCACAGGTCTTCTGTTCTGGTAGAGTTAGGAGGCAGGAATTTGCTATGGGTTGATATCAACTTTTCAAACATTGCTTTTGAATATTTTCAGCACACAAAAGATAAGTAACTCTTACA